GGCTGGCTGCTGGCTGCCTTTATAGCGAGTAGAAGAGCTGAGGCAGCTGCTTTGCCTCAGCCATTTCACAGATTAGGGTCTGGCCCTCGACTGGAATCACGATCAAGGGTCAGAAATACTGTTGTTCCTCAGACCCCTCGATCGGAATCACGATCAAGGGTCATAAATATTGTTGTTCCTCGAAGGGAACCCAGTTCAGACCACTGGGAATGCATCTAGCCTTCACCCACGGCCAGACGCAGCCCAGAAATGGTTGTACTCAGCCATTTTTTAGCAGACTGCTGAGACCCACAGTTTGCTGTCTATTCATAGTCCAGATGCTTCTAACTTGCATCTGGACCGAGGCCGCGGCTAGATCCGCGACCGTTTCTCCCCCTTTTTCTTTTTTTCCAACTTTTTTTTTTTTTCCCCTACCCCCTCGTTTTTCTAAAGCAGCGGCAGCTCGTCGTTTGAAAAACGAACGAGCACGTCCCCTCCCCCAAGTCATTTCACAGAGTGGAACTAGAGTCAATCTCAACAGGGTCTTCTTTTCCCCCCTTTACCCTGCGCCCATACCCGGACATCTATTGTGCCAGGTGCAGGCGGTCGTCTGCAGCCCTTTGTTCAACCAACGGGCGCAGATAAGTGACTCTCTCTCTCTCTCTCTCTCTGAACTTAGCCGCTTAGGGCGGCAGATGCATTTGCCCATCCGTAGATGGGCTGTCGAGGTTCAACCTCCTGATGAGTCGGTGGAAGTCCGACGAAACAACCTGTCTTAGTCATGTTTTTTTTTTTCTGCCCGTTCGTCCGAAATGAACGGGCACGCAATCTCTCAAAAAAGAAGAGAAAAAGACAAAAAGAAAAATAATCTAAACAAAATCTAAAAAAAAAAATCTAACTGAAACTGGAAAAAAGAAAGAGAAAAAAACCCTACCTAAATCATGGCTGCCCGTTTCTAATGGCGCCTGTCTTTTCGCTGGGGACTTTTAAGTCCCTAGTCTGCCCTGGACGCGTCAGATGGCGCGCCGTTTGCCCTTCTCCCCCTTTTTTTTTCTTTTTTTCCCCCCCAACGGCTGCTTCTCGTCGCGCCGTTTCGTTTTGCTGGCTCAAAACAGACAAAAAAAAAAAAAAAAAAAAAGGAACAACTTACCTCACGATGTTGCAATCTCTACAATGCCCGTTTCTGGGCACTTACCCGTCCAGGTGCGGGGCAGGTGAGTTTTTTTCCTCCCTTTTTTTTTTTTTTTTTTTTTCAAAATTTTAAAATAAAACAAAAAAATCTTGATTCGGACGTGTCACCCTCACGCAGGGGCCACTTTGATCTACGCGCGGCCGATCTCAGCCATGCGATCTTGAGGATCGCGCGACCGAGATCAGCCGCGCCCAACTGCCTTGGGCTGCTAAAAAAGGAGCTAGTCCAGCGGACTACATGCAACTAGGCTTGATCCCTAAATCTGCATGGTGAAAATCATGTGGCAGTACCTACTGGGCTAGCTCCTATTACGGGAGTTAAGCCCGCAACTCTTCTATAAGAAGAGCTGTCTTCGTGTAGCCCGCCTGCCACAGCTAGGCAAGCACGGTCCTCCTCACGTTAGCCGCGGCGCCTGTCGACTCGGTAGGCGGCGCACCGTTATGGCTTGGCTGGGTGACTCGTGGATGACCATGAGACTGTCTCGGTCCTCCGTACGGAGCAGACCTCGTGGCCCACTATCAAGTGCGTACACCTTTATTTTCCTTATTTAGGCCCTGAGTCGCGCAACTGCTAGATAGTCTAGATTTAGTTCTAACCTTTTCAGGCCCGCGCACCACTGCGACCTCGTCGAGAAACGCGGACGCCAGTGCCGACTTCCACTATCTCGAACAAACGTCAATGACGTCACACATCAACGACGTCCTACGTCATCGACGTCAGGCTTTAGGTTTCTTAGTTATTGGGTTGGTCTGAATAACCTTTGGCAACGTCAATCTTATCAAGTCTTTCAATCCAAGCAAGGGTCAGGCAGTGTCTGACCTTGAAAAATCCGGGCAGAAACCCTTACAAGGGTTTCTGTCCCGACAACCTTCCCCGCCCCCATTAAGCGACGTCCCCGTCGCTTGTCGTAGGGCAATACAAGGCGAGGCCCTTACCATATAATCACAATACATCTGGAATTAACCCAGATTTTATATACTTATACGGGATGAGCGACGTTCCCGCCGTTCATGTTCCTTTCCTTTCATAATCTTCCGGACACTCTTTATGAAATATTTCGTATAGACTCCATTACCGTCAACAAGAAGGGCTTACTTTCAAGCCTTTAGCACAAAGGCTTACTTTCAAGCCTTATGATACTTTCGAACCCTCCTTCGAAAGCACTTTCATTCAGTCACGTGTTGGAATGGGGCCAGAAATAACCTCTGGCATGCCTTTCCCCGGAATCTGGAATCCACTATTGGCCTTACCCAACCTGAGGAATTACAAGAACATTTTAGAAGAATGATCCCAGCATCACCCCACCGGCGGCCCCTCATGCTTCCTTTTGTCTCTCATAGATGGGTCAGGCTTATCCCCCTGATGGGACTCTCTTCAGGCTATAACCCCCTGTCTAGGTCTCGTCAGGCTTAACCCCCTGCGGGTCTTTCATCATTATAGCACACACTGCCAGGAATTTAACCTGGGTCTCTCATGTTCATGGGGATGCATTCCTAACACCTCAACATATCTCTAGCTGCCAGGAGTTTAATCCGGGCTCCCCACGAAACATAAGGATACTCACACTGTACTACAGCATGTGCCGACACCATCCCATTGAGAAATCATGCTTCCATAAGTCCTTGTCCAGTCCGGCTAATTCCCACTCCAACTTAATCATCATGCATGATTTATCTCCTTTATGTCTTGTGAATGCGTCGAGGAGTGGTGTAATCCACAAAGGATAACATCTTAACGTCAAGCCCCACTTTAGACTCGACCCTCACCACCTTCTCTCTGATTCCAACAACCATATTACCACCTTCCTCCCTTTCGACGATAGTGTAGTCATTCTCTTCGAAAGGAAAGATGACAATATCCCGCTATGGACCAGGAACAAAGTTCCGGCACAGGCCTCACCACCGTCTACGGGGCTCACAACATTAGGATTCCTCATTGAATGACAATCGAAACAATACCAAGTCATAAGGCATGGCAAGTAATTGAATCACATGTCCGACGAATAACACACATGTTAAGTCAGGCATACGACCCAAGTACAAATCATCTCCTTAGAATTGTACTTACAATTCTCGCATTCATAACCACATACACGAAGTTTCATAAGAATTCCAGGTCCTACAATTCTTTATGTATGTGATGAATACTTTAATAACATAAGCATCCATCAACTATTTCACAATAGTCTTCTTGCAATGGGCATCCCATCATGATAAGAATCTCACAAAGTCCTTTGGTATCACTCTTCTATTTTACAACCAGTATCCAATACCTCTTATGCATAGAGACAATTGTGAGAAAAATATCATAGTCATCTTACAACCGTCTGTGACAGTAAAGAACAGATCCATTATTACAAAACAACAGGAATCACAATCCCATTGTTAACCTTTCAACTTCAATACTTTTATTAATACTTTATAACTCTCTTGGTTAGCCTAAGACAAAAGTCAGAATCAACTGAACCACAATACAAAAGCAAAAAGAATTACCAAAATTGATGTCACCAATTAGCTCCTCCACCTCCCTTTTCTAAAAAGTATTCACTAAACTCTCGGAATGAACTTCCGTAGATGTGCACCTGATACCCAATTTCTACTTCGGGATCCATCCAACTCCTCTATTTCATATGCCCCATGTTCTGTTTTCCTAGTGATCCGATATGGTCCTAGTCACCGACTGTCTAGTTTTCTAGACCACTGTTTTTCTAGCGACATACCATACAACAAGACGATGTCTCCCACTTCCAACGACTCTTTTCGTACACGTGGCCTTTTATCATATCTTTCCTTGTCGGCCTGCCTGCTTTCAGAAGTAGAGACAGCCGCGTCTTCAATCCGCTCTTCGGTTACCATGATCTGTTTTGCCCTCAATTCCAACAACTCTTCTGTTGAGAGTTTTGTTTCCACGTCTTGTTTCTGCCAAGTGGTCAAGAAACTCTCAATCGTAAAAGTCGCATGTCGTCCAAACCACAATGTGACGGAAGCATACCCAGTTGTTCGCTTGATGGTAACATTCTCAACGAAAAAGGCTGCCCTCAAATAAATCGGTCATCTTGATGGCTCCCCTTTGCACCATTTAGCCAACAAGTTAGACAAGGTGGCATGTCCTCGTTCCACGGGTGCATTGGCCTGGGGATGAGCTCTCGTCGTATAACTGAAACTCACCCCAAATCTCTTTAAAAACGTTTCCACCTCCTTTGCTCGAAACTCGCCTCCTCGGTCCATAACAATCTCTTGAATAAATGGATAACGGAGGTAATATTCCTCAATGCACTCTGCCAAGACTAACCCAGTACGTTCGCGAATGGCACGACCATCAACGAACCAAGTCAAATTGTCCCTAACATCGAAGATATACCTGTACCCATTTATCCCAGGCGGCATTACCAGGAGATCCAAATGCACCACCGCACCTGGTTCTGCCACATACCGTGGATTTAGGGGTTCGAGGTAGCGGATGTTAGACCTCTGTTGGCGAGGGAAACAAGATTTACAGAAGTCAATCACCATATTGCTCATCCCTTCCCAGAAATAAAGGCGTTGGATTTTGTTCAGAGTTACCTGCGCAGACCTATGCCCACCGGCTACCCCATCATGCAAAGCAGCGATCACATCCAACTACCGAGAGGTTCCGCATACCACCCTCTTTGGGACACCATCAACAACCTCCTTAAAGAGATAACCGTCACGAACAACGAATCCTTTGTTTTTCTTCCGCACAACCGGATCAACCTCACTTTCATCCAATTCCCCATTCAACCACAAGCCTATTTTTTTATACTCCCCTTCGTACTCCTTTTCCTTAAACGCTTCTTTGACCTCACTGCCTCCTTCCTCCACATTCATTAACCTCAGGCGATCCTCATGAACCAACAAGTTCATGATATATGACATCCTTCCAACGGTCTGGAAAGCGTCATCAGCCTGCGTATGACCCTATTCAATTGTTAGTGGATCAAGCCTAAGGTCGATGTCATCGGTAAAAGCCAGCCTCATCATTTCCTCTGCGGTCTGCTCGCCCCATGGGTCCTCCTCAATGACAGGTTCCTCCATCACGAGTTCTGGACGTACCTCGTGAAAGGCAGGAGCATTCCATATCGATTTCCCATGCCGAGTGGCCGCATCTGTCAGGTAGGCAAGATAGTTAATACTCAATTGCGACTCCTCTTCTTTCAATGCAGTCAGATCCACCCGCAGGATGAAGCGTCTCCCAAACACATAATTTCGAAAGATACGAAAACAGTGAAGCACGACCAAGATTTCCTTCTTGAATTGAGAATAATTCCTCTCAGCAACATTCAGAGTCCTGCTGTCAAATCTTAGAGGTCTTTCCTGCCCCTCAACATCTCTCTGAATTAGGACCCCTCCTAGGGCTGTGGACCCCGCATCAGTCTCAATAACAGAAGGACGCTTTTCATCATCGTCGAAAAAAAGAACTCCAAGGATCAATCCGCCCTCACGGAACTCAATCTTTATGTCTTCCACGACCGCTTGTTGCTTCGGACCCCATTCCCACTTCTGGCCTTTGCGCACAAACTTTCGCAAGTGCTCTCTTCTGGGGGCAAACCTGCGGATGAAGATGCACCAAAATCCACAGGTTCCAAGGAAGCTTCGCACATCTGTGATCGACTTGAAAGGGGTCGACCATTCCAAGATTTTATTAGTCTTCTTCGCATCCGGCCGGCGACCTTTCTCGTCGCAAAGAAATCCCAGAATCACTGCTCTCTTCATACAATGTCGAGACTTAATCCCACTAGCTGTGAGATTAAACTCCCTTAACCTCTTAAGAGCTTTCACCACATCATTGATGTGCTCCCAGACAAAACGGCGAATGCTCGGTAACACCTCCGTCAAGTCCTTCGTACAAGATCCTGGAATAGTCAAGTCGTCAATATACGGTGAAGTTATGTTAGGACAATAAGGTTGTATAACCCTCATCATATATCTCTGAACAATGACAACTGCATTCGTCCACCCCTGCGGCGCCACACACATATGGATCAATCCACGAGGACTATCCATCGCCATCTTGGGCCGATCCGCAGTGTAAATGGGAAATTGATCATACCCGGAATATAAATCGATCAGGGTGATGATAGACCTCCCTGCACAAGACTCCGACAGTAGGTCCGCATGTGGGAGTCAACCTGCATCTCGAATTGTCACCGAATTCAGCTTCTGAAGGTCCTGAATCCATTGCAGAATACCATTCGGTTTGATGAAACAGAACCATGGAGATGCATACGGCCCGTAAGAATAATCTGCAACTTTTGTCTGAATCTTTCCATCGAGATACGCGACCACTTTACGGTGATCCTCCGAATTCGGATAACGTGGCCCTCTCACATTCCATGGCTCATGTGGTACAGTATGAACTCTAATCATCGGAATTTTATCAACATCCAGCCTTCCCCGCTCGTCATCATCAAACGCATAGGAGAGATGTTCCTCCCTCAATATATCGATGATATACCATTTTTCCTGCTCAGTAAGGAGGTCCTCCTCCCCAATGATCATACTTCCCACTCTTTCTTTGGTTAACCGACATGACTCTTTTTCACCTTTCTCTTTCATTTCTCTTATCCACTCACGCTCCTCACGATAATAGACTTTCTCCTCTTGAGTGATTAGCACAGGTACCGGCTTCGCCTTCACGCCTACTTTCTTGTACTTACGTTTGGCGCCGGTGTCAAGCCTGCGTCCTCTAAAAAAGGACCCTGTCGAGTGGAGGGCAACTCCTGATCTTCTCCCTTATTCCTCTCCGACGGGGAGTAAACAAGGCGCATAGTTCTTGTGCTTCCGGTCTCCGTGATGATCTCCGTCAAGGCTTGCATCACATTTGGATCGATCGCCGTATGTGTCGACACAAAATCGATTGCCTGCCCAATATCAGGCAGGGTCAGTGAAAACTCACGAGTATTCGGCTCCTCCCCTAACGATTCCTTCTCCCTCCTCAACTTTTCTGACTCCGGGAAGGTATAGGATTCCGGGTTCAGCCAGTTCCGCGAGCAATAGGGTCCAGTGTTCGCACACTTGACCACTTCGTAATAACCGTAGACAGGATCACAAAAGATTACAAACATAGTTCCATCATGCTTGTTAATGATGATGCTTTCCGATCGACATAGGAACGCCCTTCTCAGAAGCACCTCGTGTTACACTCTAGGTAACACGTAGAAATACGAACGGACCTTAACTTTTCCAACCGTGACGAGAACGCCACTGGCTGTCCCGCAAAATGGGGTCGATCCGCTAGCGCCCACGAGAAACCCATAATCTACTCGATTGATCTTCAACCCGGCTTCAATAGCATGGCGCTCACGAATAATGTTCATTTCGGCTCCATCATCCACAAGTGTCGAATACTTTTGTTGACCAATCTGGACTTTAATATGGTCGGTTGACACACTTCGCCAATCCATCTTTGTCCCAGGCGGGGACTAGTTAGCCTCCGGCGGAATGACTTCGCCGAGCTTAACAGTCATGACTCTCTTACGAGTCATCCGTTGTTTAAACTCTTCTCGCATCTTCGGCGATACCGCCAAAATTTCCTTCAGCGTGACCAAGTCGCGCTGACTTTCCAGAATCTTATTGACGAGTTGCTCGATATCGACCCCCTGCTCCACGGGGATCGAATAAATGTTCTTCTTCTTTCGTGACTCCTCCTCGCTTACTTCGGCCTTCCCTTTCTCCGGCTCCCTTTCCAATGCACAACGGCGAGCCCGTTCTTCCTCTTCGGCCCGCAACTTCTCATCCTCGCTATCCTCATCGTTCTCACTAACGGGGATAGGCTCTTCTTCCACCGCCTTTTCAGACCCTCTTTCCTTCCGAAGCTGCTCGTTTCGTCGCCGCATCCGAGTCTGCACGGCTACAGTCGGAGCACTCCTTTTTAGCACAGTCCTAGGTCGCATCGTACTTACCATTGGCTCAGTTTGCGATGCTTCTCCCGGAGCAGTTGTCCCTGCTTGGCCAGACGCATCTTCCCTTTTATCACCCCATTCACCGAAGAGAAAGACGTTCGGCAACCCTGGCTAGACTTCCTCCATGTCCACGCAAAGTCGGATAATAGAGTCCCGCCATCGGGCAAGCCGCCTCGTGATGGTTTTCGCTCGTTCTACCACTTGTTCCCTAAACCTTCCTGGTTCCGCCGACGGGTCGTCAATATGTAACGACGCCATGACCTCCTCGACCCCGGCCAACCGCGCTTCTTCAGGAGAAGCAATCCGGAACATCGCCGACAGCGGACGACCCATTTGGCGAAACGCCTCCTTCCTCATACCCCCTTCAATGTTGGGGTCGATCAGGTTCCCTTCGTAATCAAAGACTTCACCACGTATCGTGGCGAAGACTATTCCCTCCTTCTCATCTTTTGAAAGGAGTTGGCAAAACCGCATAATATGACCCTTTTCTGCGCAATAGTTACATGTGGCTTCCTGCTGCCACGCCCAACGGCTTCGCTGTCCGTTCCCACGGCCTCGACCGCGGCCTCCTCCACCCTGCGGCTGGAACTGCCCTTGATCTTGGGAACTTTGTCCTGACGAACCAGCGTCAGCACCGCCATTTCCTCCTTGATTATTTTGTCCACTGTTCTTCCCCTGTTTACGGGAAGTCTCATGTCCGCCTCGAATTTGATTCAAGACCTTCCTCTTCGCCTTTGTTAACTTGCGAGGCGGCTCCTTTTCCTCCTCGCTCTCACTGTCACTTTCTTCTGCTACCGACTCTTTCTCCTTCCTCTTACTATGTTTCTCTTTGGCCAACATGACTTGAAGCTTCAGCCTTTCCTCCTCCATGCCCTCCATCATTTCTCTCATGCAGGTCAAAGTTTTGTAAATTTCACCGTCCTTTACTTCTCCCAGCTTCACCTTTTCCCGCTCCTCCTTTTGCTGCCTCAACAGCCGGTAGAGGATATCGTCGAACTTCCCCACCAGCGCATTTTGTCGGACCTTAGTCCAACCATACCTCCCGTGCATCCCTTCAACCAATTTCGACTGTTTGATGTCGTTGAAGTTATCAAGGAAGATAAGACAACGATCTTTGTCGGACATATCCGGGATTAGGCGAACCACACGCTCAAATTCCGATAAAAATTGTTTGGTAGTACCAAACTTTTTACGATTCACCGCCCTCAAATCTTGCAGGTCGAGCAACCGGTCGCTGAGCTGGTACGTCTCCAACAACCGCGCCTTAAAATCTGACCAATCATGAGAGATTCGCACCAGCTCATCGATCTCGTCTCGGTACCCCACCCGACAGTATCTTTTAACCATGCGAAGCATCTTCTCATCTGTCCATTCGTTGCTATATCCCTATTGCTCGAACTTGTCAGCCCAAGATGAGGCATGATTCCCGTCGAACAACGGGAACATCAATCTTAGGGTAGGGCTCTCGCTGCGATTGCCGGATGACCCGTGCCAGTTCTTGAATGTCATTCCTCCCATCGTCATCGTTGTCGCGATGTCCTGCGGCACCGGCCATCTAGGGGCCAAAACATAAACCCAAGAAATCAGTCTAGGAGTTTGGTAGCATCTATTAAGGTTTCTTCCTTACACTTATAGAGGTCCAGAGATTACTAACCATTACGACAAGATTTTTTACTTGCTCCATTCCCGAGTGTCGTTCAACCAGGGACAACGGTAGTTTGCCGTTATCCCCGGCAATAGCGCCACCTGTCGAGCGCATCGGCCCCCGCGCGAGCGAGGGCCCTCCCGGCCGCGTCACGCAGGAGAAACTTAGGTTTCCTACCTTTTAGAGACAACTCGAGGACAACACGGTAACCCGTGTCGACCCGTCGCCGCTCCGGCCGAGTGCGCCAGCTGTACATCCCACGGTTCCCTACAACAGGATAGGTTCCCACGGGGCACAACTTACCTTCTCTAAGGGGCTGTCACCACCCTTAGGGGCATATCCCTACCGAGCTACCGACCCACATGCGAAAGCTTTTATAATGCAATTGCAGAGGTAGGTCAGCCGATGGCGTTTGCTCATTCGTTGTAGCATAGAAACGCATGGTTGAATGCCAGAGTGAACCCGATCGTCGTCCGTCCTTGGGGCGCTGATCTCCCAGGGATCAGAACGTACGCCGGTCGACTAGGACGTGATAACCTAGGCGTAAGAAAATCTCAATCAATCATAGTCCCTTCTTTCAAAGACAATCGAAAGCTACTCAGACAAAAGACCCATGTCAACGTAAGTTGACTTATTTTATGAAATCGATACAATCATACATACCACTCGTTTGGGCTGTCACGACTTTCGCCTTGATGAGATGCGTTGTAGCGGACCTCGGGTTGGCCTGTGAGACCAGCCCCTTGGCCTGTTCTCACAGGCCTGTGTTGTATTCGGGGTAGGCCAGTCCAGGCCGGTACCTCTGTCGGTACCAGCCAGTCCAGTCCAGTCTCGTCAGTCCGCTGGGGTGTACCCCAACCATTGTCTGTTTTCAGGCTCATTCTTCACTTGCACATTTTGGAGTACGTGTGTTGGAGTCCTCTGTGGGAGCTGCGCTGTGCGTCATCTTGCTCCCCCTTCTTCCTCCATCTCCATCTCTACCACTAGCGGAGCACCACACCTGGTGGGTCCGCTACATTGGTATCAGAGCGGGAACGGTTCCTGCTCCCACCCACCACCCCGTACAGCTGTCCAGCAGTCCGCACAGCCGGGAATACAGCAAACCCGACAGCGGTTTGTTTTTGGTGTTTTTCGGCCGTTTAGCAGCGAAAACGAAGGGAAAAAAGGTGGCGCCCGCTGCAGGTGACACGTGGCTAAAAAGGGAGGCGCCACCACTAGCACGTGCGCGCAAGCGCCAAGGCCAAGGCCGCTGCACGAGCGCGCGCGCCACGCGCCCATGCTGCCCCGCTGCCCCGCCCGCCCCGCTCCCGGATTTATATTATCAAGATCCGGGAGCCTTGCTGGTGCTGGGGTTTGAACCCAGGTGGCTGCCGGGCCATGCACGTGCGCGAGCACCCTGCTAACACACTCGCCACAGAGTGTACATGGCATTGTAGCACGGCACACTCGTGTTAAAGAGGTACCGTGTTGGCTATTTACCTCCCCCCCCCGCTGGCGAGCACTGAACAGCGAGCAGCAGATCAGCAACGGCCGGGCTGCTATTTGCCCCCCCCCCCCGCCGTTGGCTACTGTTGGCTGGGTACGTGGCCATCTGCCCTGCCACATAGCAGCTGGTGCTGGAACAGAAGACCCCCCTGCTTAGGGGGCTGCTCTACAGTGGTGAGGGTCTGCTCACACAGCAGACCCTAGATCTGCACATCTGCAGAACAGTTGCTGCTAGGGGTTGATCAAGATCTCAACCCCCTTTCCCCTACAGTTGGCTGGCTGCAGTGAAGGCCAAGACCCTCCTGGTCTTGGTGTACCTTGTGCCCTTGGAGACACCAAGGGCCAGGTA